AAATAATTCAAAAAATTTGTAATCATCAATTAAAAACTGAATCATCATTACAGTGTATATTGTGCAGTCTTCATTTACACTAATTATCTATAATATCAATTTAATATTAGAAAACAGTTTTTAAACAGAACCATCTCATAAAATGTAGTTAACAATATAAAAATTTTAATGTACTATCCATCATCTAGAGAAGAGTGAAAGCCAAAGTACAAAATTAGTATCGAAATTAGAATTGAAGTTAAAATTAATTGTTTAAAGCCAATTGATTTTCAATATGTAATAATGATAAATTAAAGCAACAAATTTTCAGTTATTAAATATTTCTAAATATCAAACAATCAGATCCTTCATTGGGCTATTAAGAATAAATAAAACATTTATTTATAATTATTAAATTTAACAAGATATGACAGCCTAACTGCCTACCCCCTGTCATATTCATTCATTCGTTCTTGTGGCATCCTCTTTACAGAGGGTCACAGTTGATGAACAGTTTTCCACTCTTTACAATTATAAGCTTTTCCCAAACTTAACCCAGTCCATTTTTTGATGTTATCTTGTCATGTTAGCCCAGGTCTTTCCTTTTTCTGTCTGTCTTCCACCATTCCTTGAATTTTCATCAGTTCCTCTGAGGATTCACTCATTATACAAGGTCTGTTCAAGACCTTTTTTTTTTCCCGCGTAAACCAATGATGCGCGAGAGGCCTCCTTCGGTGGAGTTGTGGAGGGGACAGTCATGCACAGCCCTGAATTTTTTCCCGCCTGCAGGAAGCGTCAGTCCTTGGCAATCGGCCTACGAGTGAGGTCATGTAGTGCGCTCTCGTCGGATTCCACTAAGCTGGAAAATGACTGAACAACGTGAGCAGCGATATTACATCAAATTTTGCCAAAAACCTTGGCGATACCCGAGCGTAAATCATTCGCAAGATTCAGCAGGCTTTCGGGGACGATCCTTAAGGCCAAAAAAGCGCGGCAGGTCTGCAGCAATATCAAAGGTCACGTTGACAGTTTTTTCGACTCTCGTGGGGTGGTGTGTCGTGAGTACGCACCACAAGGCCAAACCATCGCAAAGGAGTACTACCAGGAGGTCCTTCGTCGTCTTTCCGATACAGTGCGACGCAAACGACCGGATCTGTGGTCGATCAAAACTTGGCAGCTCCATCGTGATAACGCATCCGCCCATTCTGCGCATCTGATTCGGGCTTTCGTCGCCAAACACAATACTCCTGTGGTTCGTCACGCTCCGTACTCTCTCCACATGGCTCCGTGTGACCTTTGGCTATTTCTCAAGCTGAAAATGCCGCTAAAAGGAACCCAAATTTAGTCGAGAGAAGACATCATGCGAAATGCGACGGACCGGCTGATAACCATTCCAAAAGATGCGTTCCAGCAGTGTTTCCAGCAATGGCAGGAACGCTGGGAGAAGTGTATACATTACCAAGGAGACTATTTTGAAGGGGATTAGGGTTTTGTACCTCAAAGTCAATAAATTAATTTTTGCCGACCAAAGATCCGATACTTTTTGAACAGACCTTGTATGCCCAGCATATGCTGTTTTTCTTCTCTGGATACTGGCCATCAGGATTCTTTACATTCCAAATCTACTCATAATTTCCTCATTAGTTATTCTATCTATCCAACTAATTCTTTCCATTCTTCTTAGACACACATGTCAAAGGAATGTAGCGTATTAATTGCCTCTTGGTTTATTGTCCATGACTTGCATCCATATGTAGCCACACTCCAAATCAGTGTTTTAAGTATTTTTAGTCTTAATTTTTTGCACGCATTTCTATTTCTTAATTCTGAGGATATTTGTGCAAAAGCAGCTGTTGCCATTTTTATTCTGTTTTTAATTTCATAATTTGATCTGTTATCCTCAGTTATCCAGCTTCTTAGGTATTCAAACATTTTTACCTTTTCTATTTTCTTTCCACCCAACATAATCAGTATATATTATAAAGGTACAATGTGTACAAAGTGTACAATGTGTGTGCCACTAAAACTCAAAAACAAGTCCTGGTACAATTAAGGGAGTTATATGGTGTGGTAGCTCTCTATCCCCCATCCATGAAGAAAGTTCCCATTTTTACCCAAAGAGCATGCTGTTGAAGATATAAGAGCTGGAAGTTTTGCCCTCTAGAAATTTCTAGAACAGCCCAGAACATTCGAGAGCATTCCACAACATTCCAGAACACTCTCGAATGTTGTGGAATGTTCTGGAACATTGTGGATCATTCAAAGCCTTTTTTGTATGGGTGGGACTATACATTGGTGGGGTATATAAAGCAAGATCCATTGTGGGTTCAAACATCAGTTTCTTATCAGTGACGAAGGGGAGAACTGAAAAAGAAATGAAAATTCCAAAGTAGTGCAGTGAGTGAATAAAAACAAACAGTGAAGTGTGAGTAGTCAAAGTGATACAGTGACTGAATATAAATTGAAAATAAAGTGTGAAAACTGTGTAAAGTGTACTTAATGTATTTGTTAATAAAAAGTTGATTTGATTTATATTTTATACAATGCCCAAACTTAAAAGAGGAGGAGCTCTTGCCAGTTCCGAATTTTCTTTTGAATATTAAAGTTGACATCATCCACAATATTATTTTTAGTTGCCAAAATTGCCCTTTGAAATAGCTACTCCGAATAATAATAAGAAGCACATAGCCCAAACAGTTAGGAGTTGAAGGTTGAAATTTGGTACAAAGTTAAGGTATGTCATGAGAGCATACACTAAGAAGGGATTTTTTGAAATTCCCCCGTAGGGGGAAGTATTAACAATGGAAGTGGTTAATTAATATTTGAAGTGTGCAATACCATAACATTGTAATCGCCATTTTTCTCTAAATTTGTTTTATGGAAAGCTGAATTCTAAATGTAATATCTTCTGCTGAAAGAAACTATTGTGGCAATAGAGGTGCTGTAAGTGGCAGTATTTTAAGTTGAATTTAGGCAAAGCCATAATGTTTAAAGTGTCCAAGTGCAAGTCATGTGACTTTTGGCACTTAATATTATGGCTTATATTTACATCATTTTTATATTCCAGATAATTTGCAAGTATTTTTTTTACCATTTTATTGTAAAATTTTACGGCATTGCATGCTTCATTTATTATACATTCTAACAGGTTTAAGTTTTATTAAAAATCTGTATACTGTATGCTTCTATAAAACTATTCATTAATATCATCAGTGATACATAATATCCAAGTTTGTTGTAGAAATTGCAATGGCTCAAAGGCCAATTTCTTTAAATTTGTTTAATATGTAAAAAAAATTAACTATCATTAATTGGATTACAATTTGAAAAAATTGTAGATCTATAAATTCCCACTGTTGTCTACTGTCCACCTGTCCTACCTGAATCTTGAGAACACAAACACATGAAAGTCAAGACCAGATACAGAAAGCTTAGGGGCAAAAGGTCCCGATTAACTATACAGGAACTTCCAATGCAAACTGGAAGTCACATTATTTCAATTCAAAATTTTTCCCTGAAATAGACTTTTCCCCATTTCTTTGACTAAAACTTCCACTTCACGATCACATTTTTGAGTCGATTGATTCCATAAAACAAAATTTGCCAGAAGTCCTGAAGGATTTTCATGAAAATGACTTTAAAGTATGTTTCAAGGATTAGAAAAAAACATTGGTATAAGCACATTGCAGTAGGATGGGATTACTTTGAAGGGAACAAAATAAATTTTGATGAATAAATTCAAATCTTGCATTTTATTGAACCATTCCCTATTCTTTTTGTTCAAAGGGATATTAAGATAATATTGCTTAATATAAATTGTGATGCCATTAGTTAATTACACATATTTAAAATATAAGACAAAATTATTTTAATAAGTAAAAATGCAAAATGTAAAAATCGAATTAAATTATTATTTATTTAATCTTAGTATATGATTTATTCTGTATGTATTTCTGATAGTTTTTTTCTTAATCTATTAATATTAGTTTTTTAACAGCTACAATAATAATTAAAACTAATAATAATAAAGAACTCAATCAAGTTTATTATTAATCTCAAAATATACGTTCAAATAGTAAACAACACACTCCAGAAACAATAATATGCTAAAAATTAACAGATATTCAAATTGAAAATAAATAATTAAAATTGTAAGCTTATGGCTATCAGAAAATAAGAATATATTAAATTAGAAACTCATTACAAATTTCAACCAAATCAGTGCATGATTTACAAATTCTGTTTTTATATTTTGAGATATCAGTGAATCATTAGTCCATAAAATCAATTATAAGAATTAGTGTTGACTGAAAATTAAATTTTATATATGCATAAATTTATTCACTAACATATTTATTGTATGAATATTTTGACTGTAAATTTCCATACTTAACAAGCTTTTGACTTTATAGCCATGTTAGACAGCAATTTAAAAAATTATTGTAAAATTACTTTACTAGAGAACATACTAATATCAAAATAAATTTTATTCAATAAATATCTTTCCTTTAATAATCATATCTATCCATTCACTGTATAATACAAGTACTGTACAAGCCCAGAACAAAATTTGAAAAATTCTCTCTCTCTCATAAATATAACCCATATTATGATAAGTTTCAATTTATAATATGATAATTACTATAGTTGATTCTGTAATTCTATGATCATATATGATAGACATTTAGAGTTAATTAATTAGCTACAGCTTTATTTTAGCCAAGCAAACACTTACCAAGTAACTTCTCACTTTGATTTCCACAGATGGTAAATATAATTAATGAGTTAAATTTTTACAATATTTTAAAATTAAAAAATTTTTTTTTACCTTTCCTCATATATCTATTACATTCTTTTAAAATTTAAAAATATTAACAGAGTATCATTTATAACTGATGCATTTTAAATTTATTTTAAACTATTGATATTTCATTAATAATTCAAATAAATATAAGAAATAAATTTATTTTTAATATTAAAAATAAAACACATTTACTGAAAATCATATGTAAAATAAATACCTTTTCCTAATTCCAATTCAACTGGATAATCAGTTTTCTTGATAACTTTTTTGCAGCCACCATCTTTATCATAAACAAATCTTTTAAAATGAAGAATAAAAATGGGGGGAAGTTTTTCCAACAGAATACTTTTGTAGGCTTCAACCTAAATAAAAATTCAAAAAAATTTTAGATAAGTAATAAAGTTGCAAAGAATTTCAAAATTCCTTTAACTTACCTCTTGTTTTGTTTTTGCACAAGTATAACCTTGAATAGGCTCTTTGGCTGTTAACTGACTTAAAGCTCCAGATACAGAATCTACCTTCTCTGCCTGTAAATTAATATGTATTTTAAAATTGAAAAAATTATTATTATTATATAATAATTTTAAATATATTGTTCTCAATTATATTTAAATAACCTGTACAACTTTATTCCTTAGAATTAATTGTTTAATACAATGTTTTCCGATATTACAACTTGTCTAATATTTTAATTGGTTCATAATTGCTTAATAGCTTAAGAACTTTGTAAATAATCTAACTTTTCATTTTCATATACACAGATTGTACTAAAGCTAATAAAAACATCTCAGATTACAAACTGAATGGAAATTTTGTAGTTTCATTAAGGCATGATATTCTATACATTAAATGTACAGTTGACCCCCTATAACACGGTTGATAATTCCATTTTATATGAATTCCATGTTGTACGAGTCACTTAAATTTTACAAATACGTGTGCCGGGCTGTGAATGGCTCATGTATTTGTAAAATCTAAGTGACTCGTACAACATGGAATTCATATAAAATGGAATTATCAACAGTGTTATGGGGGGGGTCGACTGTATAATGAATTATCTGATTTTTAATTGCTAGAGAATTTTGTGAGATAGAAGAAAATTTTATATCATCACAAGTTTCTAGTGTAAATCAGAATAATACAAAGTACTAGTATAATTGTTGTTTATTAAATGTTTTATTAGATGAACATTTTTGAAGTACAGATATCTCTTATATAACATGGTAGTTAACTTCTGAAAAAAGTGTCATGTTTTGCAAATCCTTGCTACATGAAACAAAGGACAAATGCAAAAGTATACTATTCCTTTCCTTTATTAAGAGAAATATGTTTATTAAAGCAATTGGTAACTTATTTCCAATTAACGATATAATTAATTAACAATCACAATTGAAAGTACAATATTAATTTTAGTTAAACAAGGGCATTTTCTTCTTACAAGTATATCATTGTCATCTCAGATTTTTTGCTGATATTGATCAGAAGTATCAACAACATTTTCATATTTTTTTTTATTTTTACCATAAAATTTTTTATGGATG